TTATATCTCATAATTCTGAGTTTATATCTCGTAATCCTGAGTTTTTTCTGAGTTTATATCTCATAATCCTGAGTTTTTTCTGAGTTTATATCTCATAGTTCTGAATTGATATCTCATAATTCTGATCTTCTCATAATTCTGAGTTTATATCTCACAGTTCTGAATTGATATCTCATAATTCTGAATTTATATCTCATAATTCTGAGTTTATATCTCATAATTCTGATCTTCTCATAATTCTGAGTTTATATCTCACAGTTCTGAATTGATATCTCATAATTCTGAATTTATATCTTGTAATTCTGATCTTATATCTCATAATTCTGAGATTATATCTTGCAGTTCTGAATTGATATCTCATAATTCTGATCTTCTCATAATTCTGAGTTTATATCTCACAGTTCTGAATTGATATCTCATAATTCTGATCTTATATCTCATAATTCTGAGTTTATATCTCACAGTTCTGAATTGATATCTCATAATTCTGAATTTATATCTTGTAATTCTGAGCTTATATCTCATAATTCAGAGTTTATATCTCGCAGTTCTGAATTTATATCTCGTAATTCTGAATTTATATTTCATAATCCTGAGTTTATTCTGAGTTTATATCTCATAATTCTCAGTTTATTCTGAGTATATATTGCAATTTTGAGTAAATATCTCATAATTCAGACTTTTTTTCAGAATTATGAGATTAAATATCAATATTTTTATATTTTACTCTATGGTGAAATAAGCTTCCATTGTCTCATTTTACATCATTTCTCGCTTTGTATCATGTCTTCCTCTGTTGGTTCTTCCATTTTGAGTGTGAGATGAGAAGTGAAAGATCTTGCATCTATAATGCATTCACATATTTTCAAGTTTTTTATTTGTACAAAGTAATTTACAAAGATTATTGGAGTATGTTTTACAATAAAATACTATTTCAGACGTTCTACTTAAAAAATCTCACATTAAATCCAACGTGTTACAGTACTTGCCATGTCTTTGTAAATATTTGTGAAATTTCCTAGCAATTTCTGAGTGAAAATTATTTCTAGACCAATTTTTTTCAGAACTTTAGTCTGTTAATAGCATGGCGAGTTTCTGAACAATCAGCCTGTGAGTTTTTCAGAAAACATCTTCAGCGTTCATCAACAGCAGAGCGTTTGGCGTTCTGGAGTGGCTTCAGCCGAGCCAGATGGCCTGTTCTGGAGCATTAGCTTTAGTGTTTGTGTGCGGTTTGTTATTGGAGAGAGAAAAGCCAACGGTTCTGTTGCTCAGAACTAAATACTTTTTGCTTTTATGGGTTTATCTTTGCTTATCTATTCTATTGTCATTTTTACCTTCAAATCCTCTTACTATACTAATGTTATTTGTTAAACCATAAACTCTGAGTAAACTCAGAACTGCAAGATATAAACTCAGGATTACGAAATATAAACTCAGAATTACGAGATATAA